GTCCGGTTGCTCTTCGTTTAGGGGAACCGCAATATCGCCTTCTACGGCTTCAGGTCGAGGAACGTCGTCTCTGGCGTCGACGAGGTCGACTTCCAGGCGTTCAATGGTCGCTTGATAGCACTCCTTTGCCTCTTTCGCGTTGCCTCGGACGCGTCCTGTCTGCCCTCCACTTGGAAATTTCAGCATTTGATGGCATGTGGAGGCAACCGCCTCGAATGAGACCAGGAAACCACGTCCCAGAATGGCATTGTACACCGAAGGACAATCCGCCACGTGGAACTCCACCTGCTTGGTTTTGGTGATTCCTCCTTCGCCTATGGTGACCTTGAAGGTGATTGACCCAAGGACACGGACCTTCGTTCCCGAAAACCCCACTAAGCTGGTGTTGGAGGGGTTGAGGTCTTGGATACTCTTCTTCATGCCTCGGAGCGCTGAGTAGAAGAGGATATCGGCGGAGCTCCCATTGTCGACGAGATCTCTCGTGACTTTGAACTTGTCGGTTCGGAACGAGATGACTAAGGGGTCTTCTGAGTTCTCCTCTTTAGCTAGCTCTGAGGGTAGGAAGGTGACGTCCGACGGCACCCGGCGTTGGACGCTTAAGCAGTGGCTCAGGCGGTCGGCCTCTGTTCTGGGCCGCTTCCTACCCCCTGCGATCGTAATGATCTCCATGCCATCGTCTTCTCCTCTTGGGGGTCGATATGCAGGAGATTGCCTCTGTGGCGAGATGATCTTGTTCCTTGTGGGCGATCTGGACCTTTCTTTACGAGCTCTTCTTGGTTTGTCTTCCTCCGGGCTGAGGGAATCTTCCCTTCCCTCCTGAGAGTTGCCCCGATGATTTCGTCGTGTTTCGAGGCGGTTACGTAGATCTCCCGGAGCTAAGTACTTCAAGCTGGCTTTGAACTCTCGGCACTCCGTGGTGTCATGAGTCGCCATTTGGTGCCAGTCGCACCACTTTTTTCCTTCTTGTGGTTCCTGTCCGGAGGATGCTTCCGGTTTTCTCCCGCTCCTTCGTCTTTCTCTTCCTCTTTCTCGTTCGGTGGAATAGACCTCTCTTTTACTATCACGGTCTGTGTACCGGTTGCGATACGATTTCCGTTCAGGAGACCGCCTTCCTCGTCGAGCGTCCGACCGCTCTTGTGGGTCGTTTCGGGATCGCCCCTGATGGCTTCTATCATCGGTGGCGAGAGCTTCTTCAAGCAAGATAGCTCTTCTTACCAATTGGTCTAAGTCTGACCATGACGTTAACGTGGCTTCCTTTTTTATCAGCGTCCTCTTGAGCTCGATGCTGGTCGTTGATATCCTGAGGTTTCCGGCGGCTACGACTGAAGAGATCCCGTCGATTTCGCAAGCGATCGCGTTCCACCGGTCGTAGAACTCCGCAAGGGACTCCTCTTTCTTTTGTCTGCAATTTATGAGTGCCGAGACCGTGAGTTTGCGCCGTCGTTGGGACGCGAACTTTGTGGAGAAAAGCATCGCGAATTGTTCGAAGTTTTCTATCACCCCTTCCGGGAGGGATGTATACCACGTCCGGCACTGACCGCTGAAGGTGACGGGAAACGCGCCGCACAAATCAGAGTCTGTGGCGTTGATGAGTTGCATTTTTAACAGGAAGGCACAAAGGTGGTCGGCGGGATCTGAGGTCCCGTTATACGCGGGTAGTCCAAGGGAGGAGAAATTTGGCGGTACTGGGGTCTTGAACAGCTCCTTAGAGAGCGGGTTTTGAAGGACGTTGGGACTTTTGTGTTTCCCGTAAGTCGACCGTAAGTGTTCCTCGAGGAAACCCAGATCGGCTTCGTCTGCCTCCTGTCCCCCGCCTTCTGTCCGAGCAGGGCTATCGAGGATCAGGGCGGCCTTTAGCTTTTCTTCTCGAGTTCTTCCCTTCGACCCCTCGGGCGGGTCTTCTCTTGTCTTCAGTAGCTGGAGGATTTGCGACAGGCTATCTTGCATGCTTGCAATTTGTATGCCTTGGCTTTTGACCACCTCCTCAAGCTCCGATTCATCTTCAACTCTCGGCGATAGACCTCGGAGGTGTTGTTCTCGGTCATACCCTTGAGCGGGGTTTCAAAGTTGTCCCCCATCTTTTTCCGGTGACGAAGTAGTGTGCCCCACGGTGGGCGCCAAAATGTTTATGCCTGGAAAGTACCGGGCGGTTTGTGAAGCTCACTGACTCCGTGCGGTCTTGGAAGGATGATGAGGCGACCTTCGAAGTCCTGCAACAAAGGTCCTCAGGGGAGCCCTGGGACCTCCTCCGATGCCTAAGTTAGTGAGAGAAGTGGATAAAGTGAATAAGAGAGAGAATGGGGTAGATAGAAGTTACCATAAATGTGATCCGTTGATGGGTATTTATACTAGTTGGGTCTAGGAGTGAGGACAAGTTACGTTATGTCGGGCGCCTGACGCTGTGTCGGGCGGTCCTCAACCGCCTCTGACTTCTCATAAATGCTTGGTCAGATCCGTACTTTGTTCAGTATTCGTACCTTGTTGTCAGGACGTTGACTATATCCTCTGTCGGGCGTCCTGCTTTGTTTCCGTTGTATGCTGGGCGGTCTTATTAGGTGCGACCCATAGACCGCCTCTTAATCCTCTGGATTGGGCTTGTTCGCTTTATTGGGCTTTTTAGTGGTCATGGGCTCGGAGGCCCATATGCTTTAATGATTGTCCCAACATTTCCAAAATTACGAATCGGGAAATTCGGGATGGGAAAGTAGGTGCTATTATTGAAGAGATATCCCAACTCCGACAACTGTTTTCTGTTTTTCAATTGCTTTTTGTGGCAGGCAAAATCAATAGAGCAGCTCATTCGTTAGCCAAAAAGGCTTTTTTTTCTTGTGGATATGAGTGGTTTCTATTTTAGTGTTCGGTTTGTGTGTAGTTTGTAAACATTGGTATCCCAAAGTTTATAAGGATGAGTTTGGATAGGTGTATTTCAAATGTAAGGTATTTGAAATGTATGGTTTTAAAATGCATGTATGTGAAATACATGTAATTCAAATTCCTTGTTTAGATACTCATTTGTATTTTGTTTGCATTTTAAATTTCATGATTTTTTTTTAAATTTTAAACTTTTGGTCACTCACTACAAATTTGGGTTAAAGACACATTTGATCACTGAGATTACAAAATCGGGACATGCTTAGTCACTAGAAAAAGTTAATATCAAATTTGGTCACTACAATTACTAAAACTGGACAGATTTAGTCACTCGCCGTTAGTCTCCGTCCAACTCCGTTAATGAAGTCCGTTAAGTGCTGATGTGGCAAACAGAATTGCCTAATCAGTCGGATATAACCCAACAAAAATAAAATCCGACCCGCCACGTCATTATAACCCGCCACGTCATTAAACCCCACCCAACCCATGACCCAACCCCACCCAACCTTTCTTCCTCCTTCCTCCCACCTCCTTCTTTGCCCAAAACCGCCGCTGCCGCTCTCCTCCTTCCTCCCACCTCCTCTAAATCATCGCCACCGCGCCCCGCCAGCGGCCGCCACCATCTCCTTTCTCCCTGCCCTATAAATTGGCTTGAGAGTCGTAGACGGCGCCTATTATCTCCTTACCCTTTTTCCCCGATCTTTCTATCTTCACCCTTTTCGGGTTTTCCTCACACTCTGTTTTTCTCCGCCGCGAAAATTTTGAAGTTCGGAAGCAGCTTGCTCTGTCTGTCTTTCTATCTATATATATAGTCCTTTCTCACATCCATTTCGGATCCGTCTCTTGGTGGGTCTCTCTCTTTCTCCTGGGAGGAGAATCGGGCGATCTCTGAGCTCCATTTCCAAGCTGGTCAAGGTGCGGAGTTTTCCAATCTCATCTCTTTTTTACTTTGACAACAGTTCTTGTCCAATTTTTTCGTGGGTTTGTCGAATCTTTGAAGCATGAACAGAATTGGTTTCTGGGTTTCGATCTGTTCTTGGGAAAGCTCAGGACTTCATCGTGAATCTGGCTTTAGATTTGAATCTGCGATGCAATAGACAGATTTAGGGATTTGGTTGAATCAATAGGTCGAAGCTGAATTTGTCGATTGATTTAGGGGTTGCTCTTAATGTTTGCAGTGGGGGAAAAATGGCTGAGACTCAACCAAACAAACCTTTGATCCGAAATGGATGGGAGGTGGGAGGAAGGAGGAAGAAGGGTTGGGTCATGGGTTGGGTTGGTTTTAATGACGTGGCGGGTCGGGTTTTATTTTTGTTGGGTTATATCCGGCTGATTAGGCAATTCTGTTTGCCACATCAGCACTTAACGGACTTCATTAACGGAGTTGGACGGAGACTAACGGCGAGTGACTAAATGTGTCCAGTTTTAGTAATTGTAGTGACCAAATTTGATATTAACTTTTTCTAGTGATTAAACATGTCCCGATTTTGTAATCTCAGTGACCAAATGTGTCTTTAACCCCTACAAATTTTGATAAATTACAGTTCGGTATCCAAATTTATTATTCCTTACAGTTTAGTACCTAAACTTTTAAAACTTTACAAAAAGTACAGAAATTTTGATGATAAAATTACATTTTGGTATATTTATATTTTGCCTCACACTATAGTGCCTAAACTTTTAATATTTTACAAATAGGTCCAATTTTTTGTTAAGAGGTATTTCAAATCACTAGTTGAAATGTATTTGAAATTGACAAGTAATACAACAGACATGTATTTGGAAATCACTTCTTGAATTTGGCACAAATCAAAATACAAAATGTAATTAATATCCAAACATATGATTTGAAATTTAGAAATCAAAATAATTACAAATATAAAATCCAAATCATTCTATCCAAACACACCCTAATTGCCGCCGATTCTGATCGTGGGCCAATTTTAGACGAAAGACGAATGAAGATTGAAATGCAGGAGAAAATTTCTGTCAATGCGGCCACCAATAAGAAACTTTAACTAACAAACCTGGCCGAGTACGAGGCAGTGACCAAGGGAATCCGTGAATCCCCAAGAGCTTAGACACCCAGGAACTTGGTCAAAACTCAAAATGAGTACAACCAATCAACGTTAATCTGTAACTGAAGCTTTCATAGGCTAAGCTTTATTATTTTTCATTAAACGATTCACTAGTTGTTGCTTACAGAACGATTGAAATTTGAATGTACAAAAGCTTCAAATCCTTATTTAAGAAGGAAATAAAAATAATAAGTGGGGATCACAAATTCACAATTGATACCCCATTTCTGCGAGTCTGAGCTATGAATATTGAATACACTCGAGGAAGACAAGAGGGAAGAACAAAAAAGAACAAAGAGGGATTGACCGAGTACCCTTGAAAATTATAAGGACTAAATCTGCAAATTCTGATCCTCTGTACAGTCAAATCCGTCCTTTTCAAACTATGAGAAGATCTTAAGAGAAGGAAATGGGTAAAATAAACTAAAAGGATAAAGGAAAAGTTAACTCATGCAGGGAAGATGGAGCATATATCATGCAGCATTCCTCACTATCCTCACATTGCTGTAGAGTCGCTTCAGCTCCTTCATTGCCTTCTCCTCGATCTGAATCGACCTGAGAGACGACGGTGCATCAACCTCTGGCTTAAACCACTTGTTCATCCCAGGAGAATCCAATGGGGAACCCTGACCCGTGGTGATTGCAAACCCAGTTGTGCTGGTCTTGGGACTATGGCAAATGTTTTGATGCTGTTTACCCTTCTGCGAGAGAAACCAAATGTTAATACAAAACCCACCCCCGCATAATGTTTCCACTATATAGAAAGCCGATACCAAAACAGAAGTACCTGCTGCATCTGGATGTCTCGTAGAGATGGACGAGACATGAGAGGAGAAGTCCCAGAAACCCAGGGAGGGGTGCCCTTGTCGACATCAGAAGTAAGGGATGTGGAGGGTGGAGCCATAGGTATAGGTTTGGAAGAAATGAATGCGCTCAGGGATACCTTTCCATCACCCTTACTCTCCTCAACCAGAGTATTGTTCTTTGGATTGCTGCCCAGAGTCTTACTTTGCTCGTCCTGAATTGCACGAAGTGAGGAACGACCTTTTGATATTTTAGCACCACCCCACGCAGGCCCCTCATTTTTAGGGGTAGGTGGTGGAGAGGGGCAGCCTCTTCCGCAGCCTCATCAAGGGCACCACTCAGAAACAAGGAAAGACCACCTCTCCGATTCTTCTTCTTGGATCCCAGGGTAGAAGTGCTCTTACTCTTCCCTACTAAATCTGCAATATCCGTCTTAACAAGTATAGCATCAGGCACACGGATTTCAGCAACACCCTTCGCTCGTACTGCTTCTTCATCCTATCAAACAGTATAGATGTGAGTGGTTACGAAGACTTGACAGTGTTAAATATTCACTTCACCATTACCATTAGGACAAGCAAACAATACTTAGTAACCAAAAGTGTGAAACTCACCTTATTTATGGAGCCTGGAGACATCTCAGCGTCCAAAAGAGGTATTATGGGCCCCACCTCTACCTTATTTCCATTAAGACCTGATCTCATCTCATCTTCCTCACCCTTGTTCTTGCTTTTCCTATTTTGCTTTCTTGATGCCTTCAACTTTTTGTTACTGCCCTTCATCACATCAGATGAAGCAGCAGAAGCCGATGCCTTGGCATCTACCATCTCCACTGGAAACCCAAGCTCAGCAAGCGAACTCTCAATGACAGACCGTGTTTGGAGCTTTGCAATTTGCTGGTTATCAAGTTGATAGCCCTTAAGTTGCTTTTCCTCCAGCATCTCAATCTGCTGCAACTTCTTACGCAGAGCACGAACTTGTTTCAGGTGTTCCTGATCATCCTTGGGCATAGGATGGAGAAAGGAGGAGTCTTGCCTAGACTCCACTCCAGGTCCCAAAAGAACAGGTTTGTTAGTGTACTTTTCCCGGGTTCTCATAGCCTCACTCTCACTATCATCCTCTTCACTGTTCACAACGACTGAAAACGAGGCTGTTGGAGTTGGAAGCCTCCGGTAGCTCCATGGCTCGGATGACCTTTGATCCAAGAGAGTTTCCAGGCCAGCCAGGATTTCCAATGTTGTGGCAGTAAAAGCACGTGATGAGAAGGTCAGAAGATAGTCCAGGTTGTGAATTGCAATGTCCTGCAGGTGATGACCAAAAACCAAGGAAAATTAAACTTCAATCTAGTACAAAGGAAATAAGCGCATCAGCCAGTTCCAGAATAAATACTACAAACCATGCACAATTTACCCTGTTCTGGAAGAAAAGGTGATTATAGAGAGGAGGTAATTATTTGAGGCAAAAGATCGTTCGAAAAGGGTGAAAGTGGTTGGGTAATCATATTGTTCGGGAAGGGTAAAGTGGAAGGGTGGAAATGAGGTGAAAGTTACCAAAGGGATATCTCTTTAAAAGAAGTAGCTTTTCTATTTTGCTACTCAATTTGAGTTTCAACTGAAACAGTGTTCTCTTACACACCCCCTCAATGCAGCACCTGGTCTCCCTATCAGGTAATAGTGGGGGACTTTCCTCCCCTTAACTACACCCTCCTTTGACTCTTTCCAGAACGCAAGGTCAAACACTAGCAAATAGAATAAGAACTACAGAAGGATGTACCTCACAGTGCTTCTTCAGATCATTGGCCTCAAGAGTGTCGGCAATTTCAAGCATCTGTATCGCATTTCTTGGCTCAACTAAATTATCTGCTGCCGACTTTTCACAGAGAGATTTCAAACTTGGCACGGGCCTTTCTGAAGCACTCTTATTATTTTCATCAACACATAGCTTATGATGCAGCTCAGTATTGTCAAAAAGGAAGTCTTCGAGCTCTTCCAGTTCATCCTCATTCTCCGACTTCTGTCTCTGAGGAATCTTGTCAGCATTAGGGGGATAGGTAGGATGATAGAGAGAGCTAACAGCTAATAGATGAGTTTCTCCAACTACAACCGAAGTGGCCCTTTTGACACCATGCAATCGAGTCGGAACTGGTGATTTATCCTTGACATGCTTACTGTCCCATGTGTAGACATCACCTGTATCTGTAACTGCTGCACCCCAGTACTTACCAGCAGATACACTAACAATACTTTTCCCAGAGAGTGAATGCAGCTGCAACAGGAGGATGGAATCAGAACTCACTCTTAAGTAAAGTTGAAGTTTTTAACTCCAAATCTGAAAATGAATACCTGCTGGCATATAAGATCAGGATCTGCAGAGACCCAATAAAACAGGGCACCATCATCCATAAGGGCCAAACTATGCACCACCCCAGCAGCAATTGCTACTGCATGAAGCCGCTCCATGCGATGGAACTTCAAAGGGGCAGCCCCACTTTTCTTCAGATTTCGTGAAACAATAACACGTCTTGGAGTAACAAATCGATGCCCCCAGGTGTAAACCTATCATTACATATTAAAGATAATTTTAGTTATTATGCCTAAAAAGTAAAAAGATATGTGATGCGAGCTAGCCAGCCAAGGAAACCGAACACAACACAACGACATACAAATTGGCTCCATCTACTGGTAATTGCAAAATACAGCAGTAAAGTAGAAGCAGCAGCATTACCATTATGCTTTAGACCCTACCATTGAGTGGAGCTAAAAGTAAGCGGGCAAAGGTACATTACCTCACCATCATTCCGTAAGACAATGGTATGAGATTTTGCTGCTGTAACTCCAGTAAAAACTTTCCCTTTCAGATACTCAACTATCCTTGGAGTGTAATTAGATGCCGAATTAGATGTACCATAACCAAGCTGACCATCCCTATTGCAACCCCATGTGTAAACTTCACCAGAGTCGGAAACCACAGCACTGTGTTTGTTTGCTGCCGCAACAGCAACGATCTTTGACTTAATGGAACTCACTCTGCGAGGTGTCGGTTGAGTATCCACAGTGTAACCCAGCTGACCTTCTGTAGAAGTTTTATTGGAAGATGGCATGTTACACTTCATTCTGGCAGAATATAACAGAGAAATATACTTCTCCACTACTCTTCCGATTAATATTGTTTAAACACACATGTCAAATAGTTCCCCCCACACTATACCACTGGACATGTTGACTATGCTAGTGGCTTAGACAAGTTATTGAGAATATATAGTTGCAATATACAGGAAACAAAAGGCAGGTGTCCAAAAACCAAATGTCTCACAGCATACAGAGAGCAACATATTGTGTACCTCTGTTAGATCCCCAGGTGAAGACTTCCCCACCCTCTGTTGCAAGAACTGTGTGATGTTTAGCTGCAGCAATTGCTCTTACACGGCGACAGCCTATTCCAGAAAGCACCTGACGAGGTGTGATAACAGCTGCTTGGCCACTACACACGTAAAATAAAAAAGAATTGATTCAATAAATGGAAAAAGAAACAGAAGACAATGATATCAAGGGTGTGACAATGATAATGATAGTTTGCAACTTCCAGCAGTTACTAACCTATGGATATCAAAGTCCGGATGTCCAAGTCTGCCCCCTCTTCCAAATCCCCATGTATAGACTTCTCCACGGTCACTAACGGCTATACTATGAAACTTTGCTGCAGACAACAGCCTAATTACAGACCCGTGAAGTGCATCAACCTTGCAGGGCAGCTTTTGTATGTCCGAATTTCCGGTTCCTAGTTGATAATTGGCACCACTTCCCCAACTATACACCTCAGTGGCTACAAAAGAGAGAAATAATGGTTCAACAATTCTCCAGAGGCAATGGGGCTAATTTTAATTATAATGACAATATCCATAGCACATGTCATGATATGGGGATGGTACCCGAGTTACATTCATCTCCAAGAACCTGAGCAACAGGTCCAGACAAGAGATCAACCGGTGTACGGAATTTAGAGTCTTCCAAAGTAATACAAGCTCCAGACTGAAGGAGCACATTTGCAACTGCAAGATGACCAAAATGCAGAGCCCTGTGAAGACTACTCCATCCTGATTCTCCATCCTGAAATAGATTTTATGGAGAATCATCCGAGGAGGGTCAGAGCAACACTTGAGTGCTATACACCCATTTCCAGCATATGACATTTGAAGGACAACAGAACTGGACCATCTCCAAATAGCTCACGACAAACCAGGCTAACAAGTACATTTTATATTTCAAATGCGATCACTGAAGTAATGAGATGACATAAGATAGTCGAGAACTTCCTTGTTCTCAGAGGAACTGAAGGCAGCTAAGGAAAGGGGAAGTAACATACCCTAGCATCAGGATCAGCACCAGCAGCAAGCAGCCTCCTGACAATGGGAATGTGATTTCTCCAAGTTGCAATATGAAGGGGTGTTAGGCCCATTGCATTTCGTAAATTAATATTGCCCCCATTTTTCTTTAGCAGTGCCAAAGCAGAATCTACATCAGCCAAGGACCCTTCTCGTACAATAAACCACAGATCTTTCTGAGAAGTCGAAGGTGAAAGTTTCCGAGCAGAACCTTGTACAGGTTGCTTTTGTCCTTGAGACATAACTAGTTTCTCAATTTTATCTACCTATTATGAACTTATCTAAGAGTCCTATCCCTAACACTTCACAATCGTATATTTACACCTAATCTACAGTGCAATTATAACTATCACACACCCTTCCGCGAATAATTTACAGGGCAAAGCAGAGGCTGCATAACATGAATCACCTAAACAATAAACCAATATGACTGATTATTTCTCCTCGCTGTCACGAATCTTCCAGTAAAATGATGAAGAGTTCCATTCTAAAACATAAGGATTCAAAAAAAATCTTTAAACTATCATTCTCGTCAAGATCACTGTCATCAATACACAGTAATTCCAGCAACCATTGACAAGCTCCCATGAAAGTTCATTGATAATGGAAACATCCTCGCCACATCCTCCAGATACTGCACGAACAATTCCCATGTCAGTATGATAGGTATATGCAAAAGGAGATGGAAATGAACAAGTTAACACACCGGAATGACAACATGAAAGGAAGTAGGATGGATTTAAGTCTTAAAAGCATTCAGCCTCAATTCTCTACACGTACAATTGGATAAAATAAAAGGGGACAAAAAGAGGGTAAATTGTTCTTTTATCTTCCAATGCACATATCCTTGCTCCCTACAATTGAAGTTACTACCATTTCATTCCCTCTCTTGGCAAGCAAAGATATGAGCACAGTGGAATCATAACAAGTTTAGCAACAGGGAAATAGGAAGAAACTAGGACAACAAGATCTATACGTACATTTGGATAAAATAAAAGGGAGAAAAAGAGGGTAAATTGTTCTTTATCTTCCAATGCAAATATCCTTGTTCCCTACAATTGAAGTTACTACCATTTCATTCCCTCTCTTGGCAAGCAAAGATACGAGCACAGTGGAATTGTAACAAGTTTAGCAACAGGGAAAAAAGAAGTAACTAGGACAACAAGATCTAGACATTGCTGCTCTAATAAACATTCAATCAGCTTCTTACAATGAAACAGAAAATCTGAAAACACATTCCCCATTAAAATTGCAAGACACAAAGCTCAACAATAGAACAAAGAACCTTAACATGGTAACCCCATACCGAAATGGGGATGGAATCAAACATTAAGAAATCACCCACGTAAAGCTTCACAAAGCTAGCTCCATAGATCACAGACAACTGATCGTGGAAATCACAGAGAACCCAAATGAAAAGACTCGATCTTGAACAGACCCTTCACACCAGAAACGCCCAATATTGCAGAGATCCAGCCTACCAATCTATCAAGGCAGATGCGACAAAATCAAATTACACCCAACAATAACTGGCAGACGACATCAACCACAGCAGAAGTCATAAAAATCGAATGCAAAACGAACACGGAAACTAATTTATCCCTGAAATGGCTCCAAAGAGCAGAGCAGAGCATCGCTAGAGACCCATTCCCACCATAAATGCCACACTAAGTACAAAACAACAAAAATAACGATTCATTTCGCCAATGGAAATGAAACTACCCAATTTGGGGCATCATCCATCCGACGAACCTTCAGATTTCTGACAAAAGAACACAACCCCGAAACTGAATCCAAATGAAGGAGGAACGCAAGCAATCGGAGATGAATTTTTATTTTCCACATTACCTGAGACTTGTGTTTTACTGGAAGATGAGACAGAGAGAGAGGAAGCGTACAAGAACGGATTAAAAAATACAGAGAAAAGGAGAGGGGGGAAGAAGAATAAGGAAAAAGGTGTGGAGAAGAAAAGTGAAGAAGAGAGGATTTGCTAACTATAAAAGAAAGCGGGGAGATTCGCTCTCAACCGTGGCTTTGATTTTGTTTTTCTTCCCTTGCTTCTCTGGTTACCTAGATCAAGATGAAAAGGATTTTTTTTTTTTTTGAAGGAAGATGAAAAGGAATTGAACCAGCGAATATACCAGTACCACAATTTGTAACGGAGACGGACGGGGTAGCCAAAGGAACGACGTCACCGTAACGGGCAATCGACGGAAACACGCCTCCTCCCAAAGAAAACCACGCCTAACGCCACGTCAGACGTTGAGCGTGTCACGAAAGAGCTGTCGGGGCGACACGTGGATTAAAGGACGGACGAGAGGATCAGCATCTCTCTCCGGACAAAAGACGTTTAACGGAGAAATATGAACTAGGACTCTAGGAGGCGGTGATTGGTCAGAAATTAGCGGTGCGTAGTTTGAACTAGGGCTGGGCATGCGGGCGGATCATCCGCGGGTTTGGGCCGACCCACCCGCATTTGACCCGAATTTCGTTAAGTGGGTGGGTCTGTGGGTGGGTGACGGGTTGCGCTGGGAGCCATCCGCCGGGTGGTGGATGGGTTGTGGGTGAGTGTGCGGGTGACCCGCTCAACCCAACAGCAAAAAAATCAAAGTCGTTGGCGCTAGAGAGAGGAGAGTGGAGACGTTAGATATAAACTCGGACTGCTCCTGGAGTTTGAACCTCAAAGCCAACCTTCCAAATAGAGATCCCCTCTTCCTCCCTTTACTTTTTCCTCTAATTCTTGTGCCTAGATCAATGCTCTTTCCTTTGTGGAATTATTTTCCTTAGTTCCTTGCACCTAATAATCGTCTCAATCTGTAGAAAACTCTTTCATAATAGAATTTCTATCCAATTTAAGAACTAATTCGACATTTTTCGCCCTATTTCAACTTCTGGTTTCCCTCGATGATTCTCTTCACCTATTATCATGTCAAGTTGACTCATTTATATTATATAAATTGTGATGTGGGCAAACCCACCCGCATCATCCACCATCCGCCCGACCCAACCCGAGACTAAATGTGGGTGGGTGGTGGGTTAAAAATTATCAATCCATTTAAGCGCGGGTGGGTGCATTTTATGGTCAAAATCCACCCGACCCACCCAATGCCCACCCCTAGTTTGAACGAGGAATTTTAAGGCTAAATTGCAAATTTGTTCATTAGAATTAATTAACAAGTACACGTTTATAACTAAAATTAATTTATTTCATACGTAGTTATTTAAATCAGATTAACAGTTTAAGTTTGGTCACTGGCGGTTAGTCTCCATTAATTTTTGTTGATGTGGCGGTCAACTCTTATAGTTGACCGTTAAATAAGTGACGTGGCAATAATAAAATATAATTATTTTTTATTTTTCAACTAATTATTATAAATTTTAAAAAAATCTCAATTGTTTAATTATTATTTTCCACCGCCAGCAGCGGGATACCGAATTGGTCTCCGTCCACCGTTCCTCTGTCGCCAGCAGAGCTTCTAGGTCGTCCACGTAAAGTATCTCTCTAATGACTTCTTAAAACTTTAAGCAATCCCCCCAAGCTTCATCCATGGCGGCTGTTCGTGACCATTTGCCACAACAACCCACCTCCACTGCTCGAGAGCCATGGTGATGGACAGTTCCTCGTCTCCTCATCATGTCCCAATAGCTTCCACTCTCCTCTTCATTCTCGTCTTCGCTACCAATGGTAGCATCAGGGTGAACTACGGCATTGTCGCCGACGACCTCCCTCTGTAAGGGGAAGTAGCTAGGGATGGCAATAGATCGGGTTGGGGCGGATTTTGTCAAACCCAAATCCATGGGTTTATCCGTCAGAAAAATCCGGGGTAAAATTCATTGGGTTTGAAAAACTCAAACCCAACCCGCTGGGTATCCGCGGGTTCATGGGTACCCGTGGGTTTTTCTGGTAAAAAATTTACAATAACAAGTTTCTTTCAAAATAAAAGTTTAACATCAATTTTCTCATACAAATTAATCATACAAAAAACACCAATCTAGAGCATACAAGCAAACCGCAAATGATCAATACAAATTGTTCAAAATTAAAGATAAACATTTATAAACAATAAGATTAATTGAAAGCTTCTTCCTCGTCAACTAAGTTTCTTCACTCTCCGCTTCATCATATCAACTTCATTCTAAACAATTAGAAAAAACAAATTATACATGTCTCCACAAACATAAAGAATATTAGTTGTTTAAGGAAGATATATTATTTAGAATATTAAATATTGGGAAAATAATTATATGTGTGTGGGCGGGTACCCACGAGGCGGGTTTACCTAAACACAAACCCAACCCGACCCAGTGAATAGTGTAGCGGGTTTAAACCAGAACCCGGCCCAAAACTCGTCAACATGAGTTTTACCCGCGTTGACCGGGTTGAGTCGGGTGGGTACCCATGGGTTCGGTTTTTGTTGCCATCCTAGAAGTAGCCAGGTTTCTTCTACAGTCCACAGTGATTAACAGGGTTCGGATATTCGACCTGAACCCGGAAATAATACAGGCCTTCGCTCACACGTGCATCTAGCTCACCGTCACGGTTCCGAACGACCAGATCCCTCGCCTTCGCCCAGCAATGGATCAAATCCTACATCCAGCCTTACTTCCCGGCAACCAACCTCGTCTGGATCCTCGTCGGTAACGAGGTTTTATCCAAAGCAAACAGATTTATCATCGGAACCCTCGTCCCGGGGATGCAGACGCTCCACGCTGCGCTCGTCGGAGCGTCCCTAGACCGCCAGATACAAATCTCGACCCCTCAATCGCTCGGAATCCTCTCCGCTTCGACCCCTCCGTCAGCCGAAAAATTCCATGGCGGGTACGACGTCCACATCCTAAAACCTATGCTCGGCTTCCTCATATCTAGGAATTCCCCCTTCATGATCAACCCTTACCCATTCTTCGGCTGCTCGGAGGAGACTCTCGATTACGCCCTGTTTCGGCCAAACTCAGGGGTTCTAGATCCGAACACCAAGCTTCGTTACACCAACATGCTCGACGCCCAGCTCGACGCAGTCTTCTCGACGATGAAATTGCCATCGGATTCCTCCTCGTCAGAAACTGTGGACGACCTAGAAGCTCTGCTGGCGATGGAGGAACGGTGGACAGAGACCAATTCGGCATCCAGCGGCTAGAGGTGGAAAATAATAATGAAAAGAATTAGGAATTTTTTTTAATTTATAATAATTAGTTAGAAAAAAAATAATTATATTTTTATATTTTAATTGCCACGTCACTTATTTAACGGTCAACTATAAGAGTTGACCGCCATATCAGCAAAAGTTAACGAAGACTAACGGTTAGTGACCAAACTTAAACTGTTAATCTAATTTAAGTGACTACGATGGAATAAATTCATTTTAGTGGCAAACGTGAACTTGTTAAGTAATTCTAGTGACTAAACTTGCAATTTAGCCCGAATTTTAATGTATCAATTTGACTCAATTGTCTTGTTTTAAGATAATTGGCCCAGATTGACTCGTTTGGTAGTAGAAAATTTGAATGAAACAATTTGGCTTGAGGAATCCTGGATTGACTCGTTTTGCTGTAATTAAATTGCCAGGGGTGGTGCAGGTAATTCGAATTGAC